GTGTTAACATTTTTTCAGACTATAACTATGTGAAATCGTATTTTGCTCGATTTATATTCTTGTGTTAATCATGATTAATTGGTTTGGGAGGCAGAAAGCCATAGATGCTAACTGCTAAGTGTGCAAAATATGTTTTAGATGTCTTTTTGTTCATCAAAAAGTTGTTTGAGACTGATAAGGTATGCTTGTTTTATTTTGTTGGAAGGTTTGACTGAGTTAATCACAAACCTCTTTTGCATCCCACTTCATGCACTCAGCAAAATCTGAATCGTGGACTTGAGCTTAGCATAAGATTGATGTATTGAGCGTTTTGCAGCTGCTTCCTCCTCTTCCTAGTAAAGTTGAGATTGTTCTGATCATCGTGGCATTGTCAGTCATGCGTGCTTCTATTAAAAGGCTAGGCAATATGCTAAGAGAGATACTTTGGGAAAGCAATCAAATTGTGGAGGGTCTTCTGTCCAACTTAGTGTTGCTGGAGAATTGAGTTCTCGTGGACAATAAGCAAAAGACAAGTCTGTGACGAGGGTGTTGGTCAAAATTAAAGATTGGTTGAAGCTTAGGTAGCAGATTGTGGTTGATGTTGGAGTTGGAGTCGGGAGGGCATCCGAAGCATTCTTTTCACCTTTCTGAATGGCAGTGGCTTCTCCAGTGCAACAGAAGATATGGTAGTGATTAGTGAATGATATTTTTAGTGCTTATGCAAAATATTGAACACCTTATATGTGTCTGGGAGCTTTTCTTTCTGGGGCAATTGACACCTCATCCAAAAGGCTGTCTTTGAGAAGTAGGAGATAAGAATTCTCCCATAATGGATATATATATAAACATCTCATATATATTAAACATCCATATATTAATATACATATTATAAAACAAAATTGGAATATATATATATTTATATAAATATGTATATAAATATATTTAAAAATATATATAAATATATTGTAAACAAAATATTTATATTTATATATAAATATTTATTTATTTCAATTGATATAATATATATAATATACATATTAATCTACATAATTTAAATAGACATATTAATATTACTATAATTTATATATATAATACAATATACATAATTGAAATATACATATTAATATATATTAATATACATATTATAAAACAAAATTGAAATATATATGTTTATAAATTTATATAAAGATATAAAAATAAATATGTTTATAAATTTATATAAATATATATATAAATAAATATATTTATATATTTACATAAATATATATATATATAAATATATTTATAGATATATATAAATATATTTTAAACAAAATATTTATATTTATATATAATTATATATATATATATATTTATTTTTTGTATATATATTTTATTAATTTTATTTTTTTTAAATTATTTTTTGTATATATATTTTATTAATTTTATTATATATATATTTTATTAAGTTTATTTTTTGAAATAAATTTATATAAATATATATAAATAAATATATTTATACATTTAAATAAATATCTATGTAAATATGTATAAATATTTTTTAAACAAAATATTAATATTTGTATATAAATTTATTTATTTATTTATTTATTTGTATATATATTTTATTAATTTTATAAGTATATTTATTTATTTTAAACAAAATATAAATATTAATTTTTGTATTAATATTTATATATTAATATATCTTTTGTATATTTGGAATTGTTTTTGATATATTGTTTGGATATGGTGTTTTTAGAGTTGTTTTTATTTTTGTATTACTGTAGCATTGTAGATGAAAAACAAGTATTTCAAAAACTGTCAAATCCAAACGGAGCAGAGGATACCCATCATCTCAGAGGTACCTGAAATTTAAAGATTGTTACATGGAGAAGCTACGTATCTCTAGGTAAGATTTCTAACCTGCGCATCCTAGATTGCAAGCCAAAGCTGGTATGGTTACTGTGGGACTTGAGTCGTGACTCTAGCACGAGCTTCGGCCTTGGCTCATAGGCCGTAGAGTTAATATGACCACAGCCCAAAATGAAACTGTCCAAAGGTGAATTCGAGGTGATTAATTGACATGATAGATTGATGTAACTTGATTCAATTCGACACATTAGAGTAATAAATAATGCTAGGCTACTATATCCTACGAAATCAACCTATAGGCTCATGTTCCTATGAATAGTGACTCTCTCTCTCTATGCCCCTCTTCATCCTTGTTGAGGTGACTAAGAAATCCTACTCTTCTAATACCGAACCCCAATGCACTGTGGATGCTAAGTTAAGCATCGGAGTTAACCTAGAGGACGAGCCCTAATTTCTGCTACTGTTCTCGTTCTTCTTATCGCATTTGCAGGTCTCCAGTTGAGCATCGCCGAGATCTTGCTTGCACAGTTACCACACGAAATGTCATTGGAAATTTAAAATTTTGAAGCATCTTATTTTCCTCTTAAAGTTTGATGTCCATGACGATGATTAAATGTGGTTGGATGGATTGATGAATTTGAAGACACTTGAAGACAACGTGTTTATGCAGTCTTACAGACCCCCTTTGGCTGATTAATTTGGAATCTGGCAGTAACCAATGGTGGTGATGTTGAGGACCTAGGGAGGATCATCAAATTCAATGATACGACTACAACTTACTCGCACCAAACATCCCTTCGTATAACAAAAAGTAGCGACTTTGAGCTAAGGCATTGGTAAGTAAAGCAACTGCTTTTGTGTGTCGTACTCCTCATGTGCTGTGGTATGTAAGTGGACTATCACAATATCATAGACAAGCTCTCCCAGCGATATTGAGGTAAGTGATTCTAAGTCATTCCGAACTTGTTTGGAATCCAGTGCCTACTGCCTAGTGCCAACATTAGAGAGGTTTCCTAGCCTTCCTCCTTTTGTGTTATCGAGCCTTCCTGGCTTGTTCAGCCTGGGGTGATTTTGTCAACTCAGACATCTGACACTTTCGAAGTTGCCAAAATTGGAAACCGTGACTCAAAATTGAGGAATGGCAAACTTTTGAGCCAATTAAAAGAGTCGAAAATTCTAAGGATTGGTATAGTGGTTTGTACCAATGCATTGGTAAAGTGGTGTAAAGAGGTACGGATGAGAGGAGGACAAGACACGATAGCCCAAACAAAATTGAAGGTTGTTTTTGGTCATGGAAACTGGAAAGGCAACCGAAATTGAAAGTGACAGTGGGTTCCACACTGAAAAGACAGTGGGTTCCACAATTGAAGGTCTCAACTTTTGTCAGTGGAAGGAACCATGTGAAACCAACCCCCTTTAGTGGAGTTGGCCACCACATTTAGTGTAGGGTGGGAGGTCAAGGGTTCAACCCTTGCCTCCCATCAAAAAGTGCCACTTAATATGGCTTTGCTTAAAATCCATATGGGTGCTGTGCACCCGTATAGTCCGATGGTGGTTTAGTTCCCGTCGGTTCCCCGTGATCCTGTTGGGTCACCTCCCCTAGATTAGGACTAGGAGTAGGTGTAGATGTAGATGATGACAAGTGACAAAAAAAAAAAAAAAGGAAGGAACCATGTGAAGGACCAGAAGAAGAAGACTTATTTCGTCGGTTATTTCGGTAGTCCGAGGAATAATAATGTGATGTGAAAATTGGCTAGCATCATATGAGGTATAAAGCATTTATTTGGCAAGAGAATGAATGAGGAATATTAATCTGTACAATTACTTTTACCAACCAATATAGGTGAAAATTAATGGCTAAGGTAATAAATCAAGTTGGATGGATCCGTATGAAATACTTGTAAAAAGAGCAAACAACTGAGCAAAAGTCTTGTGAATAGTGGAGAGGCCGGGAGGAAAAAAACGCAAATAGATAGAGGTGAAGAAGCAGCTGGTACGTGGATAAGGTAATATGTTTTGTAACAATGGTCAATTAGTGGATATAGTTTTGAAATATTCTTTTTGTAATCGAGGGAAAAAATTGAAATGTGGAATAAATTTGCTTATACAGTATTGTTGTTTGAATATATGTTGTACTTTTGTATATGAATGGTAACTCTCTTCATAATCATAAAATATGATGTAATTAGTTTAGTATATGACATAAAATGGGTAAGAGCAATTTAAAATATTTGTTAATATTGTTTTCTAAATTATGAACAATAGAGTGATAGAATTGTGAGCATAGAAAAAAATAAGAAATATTGTTTTTAGATTCATTGTGTAGTTGTAGAAAGTAGAAAGAAAGAAACTGGTTTGTAGAGGCAAAATATTGTATAAGGTAAATATTCGATGAATTGAACACGATTATTTAATGAATATTTGTATGGGTTGGATAAGAAAATGCTAAATGCAATTAAAATATTTAATAAAATTAGGCACAAATGTACTGATTTATGTGGAAAACCTCAGGGAATATTGTAGTTGGATTGCTCGAATTGATTATGGACCCACTAAGGATTAAGTGAAATGTTGGGATCATTAGCGAATTTCTGCTAGAATACAAATTTTGAAGATCAAATATAATTTTGTACATGTTGTAATTGAAGAATTAGAATAGAATTGTAAGTAAAGTTTGTCGTTATATTGGTCCATACCGAAAGTTATTGACTGATATTGCTTGGTTCAATTGAAAATTGAGTACCGGCCTGATTTGTAGGCAAAAATAATATGACATTGTGAAAAATATTGTCGTCATAGAAAAGACAATTAGTACACATTAATTGAGTGAACAATAAACATAGTGAAGAAAATGTAAAGTTGGATACATAACTGAAAAGAAGTTAGAAAAAATAAATAAATTGACATAAGAGTAGATAATTTAAATATTTTGGAAGAAATTTCAAACTAGATAATATAAAATTAGGTAGTAGTAGTACAATTATATGGATTACAAAAAATAAATTATATATGTATATGCAAACTTAGATAAATTTAGATTAATTTAATTGTGTAAAATGACATAAGAGCATAAAATTTCAACAAAGATAATATAAAATTAGATATTCGTAGTAAAATTTGGATAAATTAATTGTAGATAATTATATTGTGTTGATTGATAGTCGCAGATGGATCGGGAGAAAGGAAAAAATGCAGTAATAAATTTGAATGAAGAGGACGAGAATTGTGAGCCATTTAGCTCAAGTGAAGAAGAATTCATTTCCTCGGAAAAAATAGAAAAAAATTATCCTGTTGATGATATGGATGAAGAAGTGATGAATATGGTATTTGACAGTGAGGAAGATGCATATGAGTTCTACAATTTGTATGGCAAGCTCACTGGTTTTGGCATTAAGAGGCAGATGTTAAAATTAGTCAAGATGGAACTGTACGGTATAGAAAATTCGCATGTTTTAGGGAAGGAAAAAGGCACGAGAGATATTACAATCTAGCACAGAGGATTAGGCAGCCCAGGCAAGAGACAAGGACAGGATGTCTTGCATGTCTACGCATCAAACATGACAAAGCATCTGAAAAATATGTGGTGACGAATTTCGTGAAAGATCACAATCACAAAATGGCTTCCAAATCAAGCATTCCATATCTATGGTCTCATCGGCACGTAACAGATGCCGATTATGCTCAAGTACGAACAATGAAAATGGCAGGGGTGAAAACAAGTCAGGTTATGAAATTTTTTGCAATGCAGTGTGGTGGATATGGTAATGTTGGATTTGGGCTAAAAGACCTATATAACCGTGTCGATGAAGAAAGGAGAGTCTTGATTGAGGCTGGGGATGCAAAAAATGCAATTGCATATTTCAATGGGAGGAAGGCCAGTGACAAATCATTCATCTTTGAATATGATGTGGACGAAGAATCAAGGTTGAAGACCCTTTTTTGGGCAGATTATGAGTCCCAATTGGATTATAAATGTTTTGGTGATGTTCTAATATTTGATTCGACTTATAATGTCAACGAGTATCATAAGCCACTCGTTGTATTTTCTGGAGTGAACAATTATTATAATACTGTTGTATTCGGTATAGCCTTGGTATCGGGCGAGAGTGTTGAAGAATATGAGTGGCTCCTTCACACATTAACCAAAGCTATGGGAGGACGAAAGCTAAAGGCCGTGATAACAGATGGGGACAAAGCAATGAGGAGGGCAATAAATAATGTGCTCCCAGATGCTCGAAATAGATTATGCTTTTGGCATTTGATGAAAAATGCAAACGCTAAAGCCAAATCAAATGTATTCAAGTCAATGTTCGGTAGGATGATGAAAAAGGCGTACCCCATTGGTGACTTGGAGGAAGAGTGGTTTGCTGTTGTGGGTAAATGTGGACTCCGCCAAAATAAATGGGTGGAAAAGATTTTCGAAATGAGGTTGCTATGGGCTGAATCGTTGCTTCATGATACTTTTTTTGCTGGAATGCGAAGCACTCAAAGGTGCAAACAAATGAATGCTTTTCTTAAACGGTATTTGAAGAAGAACATGCGATTTTATGAGTCAGTCATAATCCATGAGTTGGCTCTTACTCACTTGAGGCATACTGGGGCCAAGGCAGTTCATGAGACAGAAGATACAACAGTGGTTTTGGCAACTGAATTACAAAAGTTGGAGAAGCATGCATCCGAAGTGTATACTCAAAATGTTTTCTTTCGGGTAAAGAAGCACCTTAACAGACAAGGCCTATATGATTGTTATGAACGGAAAGAAACTTGGAATGGCTGCATATTTTTTCTCAAAAAGTATGCCGATGACAGAACATGGACCGTAGAGTTCAATCGAAGGACCCTATCATTAAAGTGCTCGTGCAAGAAAATGGAATGGAAAGGGTTACCATGCGCACACATGTTCCGTGTAATGCTGATGGAAAACATGCAATCAATACCAAAATCCTGCATTTTAAAAAGATGGACATGCGAGGCCAGAGAGGAGGCGGATAATGAAGTTCTTGAAGAGAGGCAGGAGATATATGCTGAGTTGGTTCAAACTGCAAGATTTGGAACGTTGACATCAATTTGCAAGGAAATGTGTTTCTTTGCATCCCATATGGATGATGGATTTGCTCGTGTACGAGATATTATTATAAAGGAGACTAATAATTGGAGGAGAGCTTGAGTGGAGCGTGGATTTGATTGTGGTACTAAAGGAAGGTTAGCTGTGGATCCAAAAGAATCACGCTTAAGCCAATATTGTGTGAAGGACCCCAAGAGGACAAGAGCTAAAGGTGACCGGGTTCATACCAATAAAAACAAAGCTGCTAAGTGTGGAAACTGTGGGTTAGTTATCGTAAATAATAAATTAGATTATACATTTGCAATAACTGAAAATCATAAAATGGATTATCATTGCATTTGTTGTACTTTCATTAATTTTATTGGTATGATCACAGGTTGTGCGATGGCCACAACAAAAGGACATGTCCTCGTAACTTGCTTAGTTATGATGCATGTGGTATTTCTGGAAGCCAAGCAATTCATTATAGCAACCCAAGATCAAGGACTATGGGTGACTCAAGATTCCAGTTCGGTGCATCTTCATCTGGTGATTTTCAAGGAGTTCAACATCCACTCCTAAGTCCCTCAGGAATGTTAAATAGAGTTGACAGAGATGGAAGCAGTAGTCAAAAATTGATCATAGTCAATCTCACATGATGCAGAGTCCTTGGAATGAATGGAATGGAACAGGATCATACACAATTGCAGGTGTTAATGAAACATGCTTAGTGGACCGAAATAGCTATTCCGCTTCTTTTTGGAAAAGTTAATCGACAGGCTATACTGTGATAAGAAGCATTGGATTTTTCTTGGTGGGCCCACTGACTAACCGACGTGATTTTATTTTCTACTCCCGCCTGTTTTATTTTCTCCACGCCACTTTATGTTGATTATTTTGAATACCAAATTCAAAATTTCACTGTGATAGGAAGCATTGGGTCTTTCTTGGTGGGCCAACTGACTAACCGACGTGAATCTATTTAATACTCCCACCTGCTTTATTTTTAACTCCTGCGTGTTTTATTTTCTACACGCCACTTTATGTTTACAATTTTGAATACCAAATTCAAAATTTTCATAATATGAAATTGACGCGCGTGGTAGAAAAATCAAAAGACACCAATTCAAGTTTTTGTAGCCAAATAAAAGGCCAACTACCATATTTCAAGTGGCCATTTCGATAGCTGACATAGTAAACAGCATGTCTTCAGCTTCTTCTCACCTTCGCCATGGCTATGAAGTTGAATGGCCCCAACGATTGTCTTCGTGTGGAAGGGTTTGTGACATCAAGATTGTTGAGAAGTCAGAGAAAAATCTAGGGAGATATTACTATGCTTGCCCAAAGGAATCGGTAAACTATTTATTCTACTTGGGTTCTTGGTGTGTAGTATATGATTAACTCCGACCCTTGCATATCATTAACTTGTTGTTTAATTTTTCCGAGCAAAAATGTCTTGGATTTAGAGGGTGGTGCGATGTGTATGCAACAGCTATAAAAAACTCAAACAGGCAATCTATCTCGGGAAATGAAGGCGAGAGTTCGACGGCTAACCGCATGTCCCCTAAGAGCACCAACGACCACCAAGGTGCAGAGACAGACATCGAGCGTGTGAGTATGGATGTTGCTAGGTTGAAGGTAGACATGGCGCACATATTGAATGCTATGTGGAAGGTCAAAGCAGGAGTTATTTTGTCGTTGACCATTGCATTCATTCTTCTATTGAAGCTGTAGGCCAGTACTATTTGTTTATCTATTAAAGCGGTAGAACTATCCAATCTATTTTGCTTCTGTTCTATTTATTTAGTGTGTCAGTACGCCGGTGAATGGAAGTTATTACGGGATAACAGACAAATTTTTTTTTTGTTGCCTTCATCTCTATTTGAAGACAATGGTGCAACTTTAATTCTAAGCTTTAATTTGAAGACAATGGTGCAGCTTTAATTCTAAGCTTATCACGTTCTCTTATGCAAGAGTTATCCACGTGACTTTGTGTTGATGCGATTGCTTTCTGGCTACAAATTCTAGACAAAGGGGACCACCACTTTGAGGAGGCCAAGAAATAATAAATGGCTTTGGTGGGTATTCTTCAACCACCAGAAACAACTTCAGGAGATGAAGAATACTCTTCGCCAAGAGTTTTCGCCAAGAACATGTTCGCCAATAACAAGCTGCAGCCCGAGGAGTAAGATGGTTCGTAAAAATTCTGGAACCGAGGAGTAAGAAGGTTCGTAAAAATTCTGGAATGGAAAGTTTTTGTTTAACTTCAAATTTTTTTTTAAAATTCTTAAGCTAATGGAAAGTTTTTTTTTAAAAAAAGATGTCAACTCTCTTTCATTTCTCAACTCTCCTTAAGTTCTTGAATCTGTTTTAGGAGCTTTGGTACTGGAAATCATTATCCCTGTTTTTATGAGATTTTATATAATCTATTACATTTGAAGTTATTTCTTTAAACGGTTGAAGTTATTGTTTAATGAATATAATTTTTTAGTTAAACTTTCAAGGTTGTTGTTTAATAAACTGATTTCTTTAAATTGTCAAAGTTGTTCTTTAGTAAATCTTGAATGTTTTTTTGAGCAATCTGATGTGATGAGATATCAGCTGAGGGTTCGTTGCTGGGAGTATCGTCAGCTTCCCTCCATTGTCCGGGTCACCAGGCCTACTCGACCCATAAATTGCTATTTTTCACCTACAACAGAGAAATAGCAATGATTTCACCTACAATGGAGGTTACAGAGGAGGCGGAGGTGGTGGGTGCTTCAAGTGTGATAGGTTCTTTGATTTCATTGTCTATGTTTTGTATTTTACTTTTTTTTTATTTGGGGGTTGGCTTAAGGTTTTTAAAGGCTTTGATCTGGTGAACTACACGGTACTAAATGCGAATATTATTTTGTGGTGGGTTATTTTTGTGGTGGCCTAGAATGCACGAGTCCCTCTTAGTAGGTGCCTTTTCTCCCTTGTAGGCACCATCTCACCCAATTGGGTGTTCTTCTCGAAGAACCCAAACTTCACAAAGTCAAAAATCTTAATTTCGCTCCTTCCCTTTTCTCCTACATTCCTTTCACTAACCGTCTGGATCCACAGCTAAGAAGATCTGACAACCACACATAAGGTGTTTGGGGGACTATGAGAGAGCAGGTACACTATTCAATTATCCCATAAGGTGTTTTTTGTTGTAATCAAGATGATTATTTAAATACATGCACTTCTGTATTCCATTTCCACCAGCACATATCAAGAAAATTCTGATATAGAAAGTGCAAAGGCATTATTTTTGTTGAATATTAGGAAGTGATCGGTTCTCTTGTACGCTGAAATTTCTTATCTGCCAATCTGTTGGCTCCTTAGCCTTGGGTAGTCCTTTTTTCTGTTTTGCTTCAATGTGTGAATGAGGGGAAATTTATGCATAAACAAAGACTAACAGCATCTGCGATTATGTCGTGGAATTTGGGCAGACTCTTTTCAAGGGTCAAAGATACATTTATATGTTTTGTTCAGATTCCTGGTTTACATTTGAAAAAAGTGCTCTCCTGCTGCTCTATTCTTCCATCACTAAGCTGAGAAATAACAAGTGAAACGCTTCCTGGAGAAGGTGATGGGTTTTGGTTTCAAAGCTGTTAAACTGGTCTTTTTTCTATGACTATTCTGGAGGAGGTTGTCAACATGCACTTCAGGTGTATGGTTGAGAAGATCAAATTGGAAAGGGTGGAGGATCCTCGGGACTTTAGCTGTGTTATTTGACATCCTACAACTGAGGAAAGAGTTTCAGAATTGCTCTTTTTCTTTTGTTAGATTGTGAAAATGGCAATGTAGTGGCCCATTCTTTGGCAAGATTTGCCTTAAACTTAGTTGCTGATATAGATTGGAGATTTTCCTTTCCTAGCTGGCTGCTTCAGTTACCCAACATTGATGTAGGAGAAGTTGCTCCAAGTGATGTAAACATTTTACCATTTTTTTGGAAATCTGTTATCGTTTGGAATTAGATGTAGCGGCTCCGGATAGTCTAGTCTTCAACTCTTGATGAATGAATATGATATATGCTACTGGCTCTGTTTTGCAATTTGGTTGTTTTGCCACTTACGCCTGATGTTTGTTTATTTTCGGCTTTAGCTCAGTGCTGTAAGTTTTCCTACCTTTGACAACGATTCATAGATTGATTATTTGCCCGCATTATTCGATATTACTGTACTATAGATCCTCTATGATTTGTATGGATAACACACGGATCTCTACTAATGGAGGTCGAAATGACGAAATCTCTTCAACAAGGCCCGATCTCTGCTTGCTCTTTAATCAAATTAGTACGGCTGTTGGGTTTCAATGCTCTTTAATCAAATTTTTTCTAATGAACAGATCCCATGAGTTGTTCAAAGTTGACGGATGCTTCAAAGGCCTGTGCAAATTTTCAATAGAAAAATAAAGCGCATATCCTAGAGCCTGGAGTGGTTAACTCCAATTAACCAATCTCCTGTAAAAAAATTAATAAATCCAAGTTTGACTTGTCAAAGCAATTCCTAAACAAGAATATATCACTGTCACGGAAGAATTTATAATTATTACTATTGACTGGTGAGAAACAATGAACCAATTCATGGCAATAAGGCCTTGGATATATAAACATTTGGGACAGTCTAAAGGCTATTTCTGCCAGGCTAAGATGACCACAAAAATTTCCAACAAAAAAGCTACAAAAGAATGTGGAGACCTTCAGCTCTGTCTAACTGTCTCAAAACAATGGGAGGGTCTTCAGCTACTTCTGCCAGGCTGAGATACCAAAAAATATTTTCAACAAAAAACCTACAAAGGAATGGGAAGACCTTCAGCTCCTTGTTCAAGTACACTTGTTCATTGTTCATAGGTTTATGTCCCATGTTTCAATTCCCAACATGCCCAGTACTCTTAGGCCACGTCCTTTAAACTGGTTTCCATCATCCAAGAACAATCTAACAGCTACCTTCTTACGCTCTACAACAGAATCAAACTGCAACAGCAATAGCCAATAATGAAACTGGTGAGTATGAATGCATTCTTTGGTCTAAGAATGTTAGTGCATAATTTGCTATTAAAGCGAGATTTTAATACCTGTAATTGCAAATTCGGACCTAAGAATTGACACTTTTCCATGAAATTGAGTATATATATCCCACAATCACATCTATAAATGAATTAAGCATGAAATTTTTTTGTACAATCAATCATTGAATTGCATTAATTTTTTTTACAAACTGCAATAATATTATCACGGGCTCCTAAGGGATATTACTCACAAGTTGGGCTGACGCAGACACCAATCGGGTGCATCAATAATGAAATCTGTGAAAATTCTATGAGTTTTCCTCCCATCCATTCCAACAAACAAAGCTATTTGAAGTCTACCCCACTGTGGCCAATTATCAATTTATCAAATGATAGTACATAGAATTGAAATTTTGACAACAAACGGTCTATTGATCATACTCAAAATACTTACTAGTTTTTTCGCCATTGCCAACCGTAGGTTGTTCTCCAACTCTTTTTTAGCTGGCAATGAGTCGAGAAGAAGTACAGTTCCAGACGTCAAATCAGCTACGATTAATAGCCAATGAACCCTTTCCCAATTGAAGGGGATGTATATCCTTTCACACTCGTCAATAGGCCCCCCAAATCGATCTCCCGTCAA